AGCCATGTTTAAATGATCGGCTTTCTCCACTACACTTGGTGTCGCCGAGCCTCTGACCCTGTGGGGCTGGGTTGTGATGCTCTGATGAGGATGTCACAAGCTGTCCCTGGGCGAAGGCATGGCAACCCACTCTGGTATTCTTGCCCGGAGAATCCCATGGACAGAGGGACCTGGTGGGCTACACAGTCCATAGGGTCGCAAAGAGTCAGACACGACTGAAGTGACTTAGCAGGCTGGCAGGTTACCCCCGGCACGATATCCCCCACTGATGGACTTCTGTGTCATGGGTGCTGCAGAATCTTAGGGTCCTCGTGACAGATTCCACCACACTCATTCCTTCATGTCCTTTCCATGAACACCTTCCACAGCTGAGTTAAGCAGTTGCAGAGGCCTCTGGTCTGCAAATTCTGAAATATTTAGTATCCAGCCATTGATAGAAATGCTTCAGACTAGGCAGATATAGAAAGGAGATGTGAAGGGATCACAGCCCTGCATGCTTTAGGGCTATGATTGTCACTAATCTCTGTCATTATACCCAGAAAAAGGTGGTCTTGCAACATTCTGTTTGTAGCAAAGGAAAGACAATATGAGAATGTACTCATACTTCCCAACTATGGCAGCCTTCACCCCATTCCTACCCACAGAGACTTTTCTATCACTGGTTCAAATCCAGAGAATGTGAAATAACCACTGTGTGGGTCTTCACACACCATGATACCCCTGTAAGCAGGAATCAGGACGGTTATGTATTCAATACCCTGCATCTCCTGCATACATTAATAACAGTGGGACCGTGATGATGCTTCAGTTCCCTGGACATGATGTCAGTCACACACTGGGTCCATAGGAATGTGGGGTGGCTTCTGCGTCCCAGTGTGCAGTTACCTGAGTCAGTGGCCATGTGGCTTCCAAGGATGGGGAAGGCCAGAGGACTGCTACACTGCGCTTGCCATGGTGATAAGAGGGCCTTCCTGCTGGAAACTGGCATCTCTCTCTAGTAATGGATTCTCGGTTCTGATAACTGGCTCAGTTCTAGAAACAGGGCCAAGTATCCAGACAAGCTGTTGTGATGGCTCTTTTCAGCATCCTGATCATCCAGCTTGTGTTTTATTTCCTTTTTGTTTCTGGGGTTTTTTTTTTTTGGTCGGCTGCCTGGCTTTTGGGATCTTAGTTCCCTGACCAGTGATCAAACCCGGGCACCTGGCAGTGAAAGCCCGGAGTCCTGACCAGTGGGCCAGCAGGGAATTCCTTTGTTTCATTTCTTTCCATCGTGCAGTTTGTATCTAGGTTGGCCGCCCATCCAGGTTGTTTGCCTCTAGGATCGCCCTGTGCTGTGAACCAGCATCATACTCTCTGCGGTCAGGACCTGGCTGGCCTTCCCGTCTCTCTGCTCATATCAACCATTGCACCTGCTCTGTTCCTGACACCGTGTGCCCCCACCTGGAATCTGCATGTGCTCAATCCCTGTTTTTGCTGGAAGCCCACTGGAGACACCATCTCCGACCAGCATTCCTGACCTTTAGCCAAAGTCCTCCTGTGTTACCGACCAGAGTTCTTGGACTTGATCAATAGAAGTTTATAAAAGGCAAGACACAAATTCAGGGGGGAAAAAAGCTTTATTGGGACTCATGAGGAAGCAAAAACAAGTAACATGTTCCCTTGCTGGTTCCACAGGGTGGGGGAGCCGGTCCCACATATGAGATGAGGGTGCGGGCGGATTCTGGGTTCAGACCAGAGGGGTGACCTGGGTGGTTTGTTCCCCTTTGGTGGTGCTGTGTGCAGGGATCATGACCAGTACCTACTTTTGTGCCTGGCTGCTCTGAACTTGCCTTGGGTTTTTGGTCTTTTTGTATCTTGTTGTTGATTATTTGCCCCAACTGCACAGGCACACAATTATTTTTAGCCCCTTATAATTTCTTTATATTTTGATAGTTGATGTGACTTTTGTCCAGGTACACTCACTGTAGCAAACTGTCCCAGCCTGTCTCATTACCCACTGAGGGGTTCTACACCCTTATTCTGAAGGGTTAAGGGGCCGAAGCTTTCTTCTATCTAAACTTCTCCCTGCGGGACAGGGACCACTGAACTGAGCCTCCCCTCAAGGTGCAGAAGTCCCTCACAGGGACCTACATGGATCTGGGCCACCCTCCACTGGAACGGGCTATATTCCTTGAGCCACCACAAGTGTTATTTCAAACTGGTAGATCCTACAGGCACAAAGTCAATCAAAAGGTTAAATAAACAAGGACTAGAAAGGAAAGACCAACAATAGCCATTAAAGGGCCTAGAAAGGGAAGGAACCAGGTTAACCTTAAGAGGAGTTTCTTTTTTTCTAAACTCTTGGTGGAGGCAAATTCTCCCATGACAAACTTGTGAAGCCCCTCTATCTGTATATTTAAGGTGCATATTTACACCTTAACATAAAGTGTAATAATATAAGGTGCATATTTCCTTAATATTGATCTCAGAGAGACAGCAGTGACTGTGCTAGAGAGGGATCTTAGTTTCCTGCCCAGGAACTGGACCTGGGTAGCTTGGTGTAAAATGAGGAATTCTAGACACTAAACCCCAGGGGCGAGACGCAAAGTTCCCTTGGCTCCTACCATCTTTGAAAGCAAGAATATTTCAAGGCAAAAACTGTAAAAACAGGTACCAAACTAATTACTGGAGACATACAGAGAAACAGTTTATTTAAGATGGAAGCGAAGTGGAAATACACACCGAGAGAGGAGTGCAGACGTCCTGAATGAGCAGCACAAAGAAGCTAGACGAGGGATTTCACACACACATACATGTCTCTATCTTCCCTGGTAATTCAGTTAGTAAAGAATTTGCCTGCCATGCAAGAGACCCTGGTTCGATCCCCGGGTCGGGAAGATCCCCTGGAGAAGAAAATGGCAACCCGCCCCAGTACTCCCTTGCCTGGAGAATCCACGAACAGAGGAGCCGGCAGCTTAGAGTCCACGGGATCCCAAAGAGTCAGACAGGACTGTGCAACTAAGCTTCTTTCACTTTCACTTTCGTACATGCATCTATTCTTCCCCGACTCCCCTCCCATCCCCACCCAGGCTGCCACATAACATTGAGCAGAGTTCTATGTGCTACACAGAAGGTCCTTGCTGGTTATCCATTTTAAATAAATCAGTGTCTACATGGTGATCCCAGACTCCCTAACTATCCTTTCCCCCCATCCTTTCCCCCTGGCAACCATAAATTCATTCTTTAAGACTCTGAGTCTCTTTCTCTTTCATAAGTAAGAGCACTTTTATCACGACTTTTTGGATTCCACATATAAGTGATGGCAAAAGGTGTTTCTGCTTCTCTGTCTGACATATGTCGCTCAATATGACAATCTCCAGGTCCATCCATGTTGCACATTTGGCGTTATTTCATTCTTTTTGACGCTGAGTAACACTACACTGGATATATGTCCACATCTTCTCTATCCGTTCATCCGTCAGTGGACACGAGGTGGCTTCCAGGCCTGGCTGCTGTGAACAGCGCTGCCATGGACACAGGGTGCATGCATCCGCTCAGACCGTGTTTTCTCAGAAGCACCAGATATGTTTAATCCCATAAGGTGGAGAAATGGTGAAACATCATGACTTCTCTTGTGAGAGAGAAACTTAAATACTTCAAGTTTTCTGGAGTACTGAGATTTTGATTTAAATAGCAGCAGCATAATAAATGGGCTTCCCCAGTGGCTCAGATGGTAAAGAATCTGCCTGTCAATGCAGGAGACACAGGAGATGCGGGTTCAACCCCTGAGTTGGAGAGGTCCCTGGAGAAGGAAACAGCATCCCACTTCAGTGTTCTTGCCTGGAGCATCCCATGGACAGAGGAGCCTGGCGGGCTACAGTCCACGGGGTCGCAGAGAGTTGGACAGGACTGAGCGGCTAACACTTTCACTTTCAGCATAATAAATTATTAAGGGAACAGTCATAAACAAAACTTCGCTCTATTGAAAATAGGATGAGGTGATTTCTCTAGACAAAGAAAGAATCCCTGAGTCCTATAATAGCAGATAGCATTTTTCTTGCAATATCATTTGCAAGAACGAGGTCACGAGGCAGAGTCTAATTATGCACAAACTAGAATAAGATGAAAAATGTCCTGTTTTTGGAGATTTCTTCAAGTACCTGAACATTTCAGAGTAGAAATTTCATCGCTTAGCACCAGAAGAAAGTGAAATAAATTGTTTCTGTTTTTTTTTTCCAGAGATCCTGAGTAGGATTTCGTCAAATGTGATAAAGCTTATGAGATGATGCGTCTACTGTGTTATCATAACCGGAAAACAGACTCAGGTTCCATGGGGTCTGATCTCCTGGATCTAAAGTGAAGAGCAGAAGAAAGGCAGACAGAGCACCTGTCGGGCTTCCTGGGAGCATCGTCTCCTGCAGAAAAGAAAGAGACCTTGGTCCTGGAGGCGGAGGAATCCCGTCACTTTTCTGGGGCTGCCCCTTCCCAGCCCCCTCCAGCACCACCCTCACTGAGGGGCTCCTATGTCCCCCACCCCACCCCCACCCCCACTCCCACCCCAGGCCCAGCAGCTTCTCCTCCCCTCCTCCTTCCTTCCTGCATCACAGAGTCACCCCAGGCCCTGACACGCCCTGCTCAGGCTCAGGACTGGAGCCAGTGAGGAATCAATCTGCTCCCTTTACTCAGGTCTGGATCCTCCCCGAGGGGGGCCTAAAGGGCCAGGGAGCAGGTCCCTGGAGGAGGGGCCTTGCTTCCTGACAGCCCTGGGGGGCTGCAGGCAAACCTCCTTCCTTCTCTCCCCTCCAGCCTCTGAGCCAGCAGCACACACAGCTCTCAGGACCAGGGTCCCCGCCCCCATCTCTTCCTGGTCCCGCCCAGCTGGGCGCCTCCACCCCAGCTCAGGCCCACCATCCCCAGGCACCTCTGCTCAAGGCAGGGCCGCTCAGTGATGGAGGCTCTGTGTCCCCAGGAGGCTGGTGACGAGCAGGCCACAGGCTGAGTCAGAACTGCTGCTGCTCCAGGAGCACAGGCCTGGCCTCGCCCCTTCCCACAGTCTCTGCTGTGGGGCTCCTGCCTTGCCTGCTTGGCCCAAGCCGCTTCCTGTGAGAAGAGGCCTTTGGAGTTGGGTCCGCAATTATTGCTCTCAGGTGACATGGGGTCTTATTCAGCTGCTCATGTCCAGGATGAGGAGGTTCAGTGAGGGCAGGGGTCGGCTGGGACCCCTCCCTTCTCCCTCCTCACACCAGGCCCTGTGCCCCTGCCTTCCCTCTGGATTCTGCCCTCAGTACCTGTTCCTGGAAAGGACTCAGCCCAGGAAGACAGTTATGATGAAACTGGTGAGGGCCACGGGGAGGATCCAGGTGACGTGATTGATGGCTGGGGCCGAGGACTGCACTGTAGGGGGGCCTGTGGTCGGTGATGCTGCAAGGAGAGTGAGGGTGAAGCCCTTGTCCAAACCCGAAACTCGGCAGATGCCGCCTCAGCCCCCCTGACCCAGGTACCCCTACCCCTCCACCCACACGTGGAGGCCCTTGTGAAAAGGTCCTCAGGCGAGATGGGGGAGAGGAGCCCCGTCCCCATGGGACTCTGACAGCTAATGGGGGAGCGAGGTTTCCAACAGAGTCACTGAGTCCTGCTATGACGTCAGAGACGGTGACATGAGGATGGAGTCCTCAGGAGCAGAGGTGATGTTGACAGATTTCCAGAAGGAGGACTGGTGACATTTAAAAGAAGGTTCTGGAAAGAGGGACGAGTAAGAAGGAGACTGGAATCACAGAGATGCTCTCATGTTTAGAATCAGTGAGAATCCATGTTCAATCGTACAAAGGCCTGTGCTATGAGGAGAGATGTGAGGAGGTGAAAGAGGAAAGAGGACGACAGAGCATCCCCGGGTCATTGTTCTTTCAGGAGCAACTCACCTCTGACGGATCATTTTCACACACACACACACACACACACACAGAGGGGTAGGTCCATGTCACCATGAGAGAACTACCACTTTCTCCTACTCTTCTCACCTACCCGTGGTCTTCAACATTCTCTCCCAGCGCTCCAAGAAAGCCTGATACCAGAGCTGACAGTCTCCCATGGAGACGTTCTTGAAGAAGTCAGTAACAGTTCTATCTTTCTCCCACTTCTCTTTCATCCATCTCCCTCCAGGATGAACCACTTTCCAATGTCCATTCTCTGAATCAAAGAGGAGGGACAGTTTTCCATTGAAGCCAAACTGCCAGGATCCATTGATGTGTCCGTTGTGTTTACTCCAGCACGTCATCCTGGCCTGCAGGGTCAGAGGGCCTGACCCCACTGAGGAAAAGAAAGAGCTCAGCCTCTGGGCTTGACAGATTCTTTGCCCCACCGGGGTCCACCTCCCCTGGGCCCAGCTAATCTGGCCCTGGTCTCTCCTGCAACAGCTGCTCTTTCCACTGGACTACTAGCAAAGGACAACATCCGATTTTTTTCTTTTTTTACCCAAAAACAGTGGATGCAGCTGAGCCCCCAGTCTGCTTCTCCTGCATTTGGACTTCCTCACTCACCCTTGTCTGTGTATCTCTCTGGTGTAACGTCAGGCATTTGCTCCTTGAGCAAGTCTCCAATGTCCCTCAGTGTACCAGTCTGTGTTTCCCAGGCGTTCATACTTTTCACTTCCTCTCCCAATGGACTCAAGTACTTGATCTCAGCTGTACCACAGTCACAGGAGACAAAGACCTTTTGATCCACTTCGCCTTGAACCTCACACCATGGCTGACCAGGTCTGGGCCAAAGATAGATGGTGAAATTATAGGAAAGAGAATGAGGGTCTGTGAAGGAAAAACACAGTGAGGGTGAAGTTGGGAATAAAAGACCCACAGGCCCTTCCCCCAGTTATGAGAGCCGAGTACAGTGCAGGGCTGGCCTGACAGAGCAATGACCCCCCGCCCCGACATGCACACCACACACCAGTGCCCCCTCCTCGTGGAGAAGGAGGAGGCCCGCCTGGCAAAGATCACTCATCCGGGGTGTGGTCCCTCGTCCACCGGGTCAGGTCCCAGCATCATAACCTTTGCAGAGATGAGCCAGGCTGCTATGCAGGAAAGGTCTAGATGACAGAGGATCACCAGAGTCTAACCCCGTGTCCTGTGAGAGATGGGGAGCCTGTGGGGATGCTCCTGAGGAAGCAGGATGACAGGGAGAGGGGCAAAGAGGTGGCGGGTGAGCACAGAACCCAACGCTGGAGAAGGAAGAGTTTATAATTACAGTCACAGGACATAGCAAGGCCGGGGAGACGCTGCTGATCTCCCACTAGGATGGGTCTTGGAAACATGGAAAAGCCCTGGCCCACGTGGCATGAAAGAGAAAATCCAGAACTTCCGAGGCAGGTGGTAGAGGAGGGGATCAAAGGCTCAGAGAAGTGAATCTGCCAGGGCGGACACGGTGTGAAAGGGCAGGAAAGTGTGCAGTCCACCAGGTGCCATGGAAAGCCTGATGGACTCTATGGAACCTGAGAGGAAAGTGTGGATGAGCAGCATCTCCAACAGCTCAAGGCTGACTTCTGTGGAAGGTCAGGGATGGCGGTAGGAGACCATGTTCCTGTGGGCTTCTGGCAGGAACAGGGATGGAAAATAGGGAAAGATCAGATTCCAGGTGGAGTGTTGTATGTCAGGAGCAAAGTTGGTACAATGGTCAAACTGATTAGTGAAAGTCACTCAGTTGTGTCTGACTCTTGTGACCCCATGGACTATACAGTCCATGGAACTCTCAAGGCCGGAATACTGCAGTGGGTAGCCTTTCCCTTCTCCAGGGAATCTTCCCGACCCAGGGATCAAACCCAGGTCTCCCACATTGCAGGCGGATTCTTTACCAGCTGAGCCACAATGGAAGCCCAAGAATACTGGAGTGGGTAGCCTATCCCTTCTCCAGTGGATCTTCCCGACCCAGGAATTGAACTGGGGTCTCCTGCATTGCAGGCAGATTCTTTACCAACTGGCTCCTGGCATGGTCCTGGGGCCTGTCAGAGATGAGGCCTCTGGTCATGGAATATCAGAGGTGCCCAACATGATCTGGGTGCATCAACCCCTAACCATTAGTTCAGATAGGCCAGCTGTCATAGGACAGAAGTGATTATGTGGCTTGCCATAACCAGGGCCGCAGGGAACAAACAAGATGCACCAGCAGGTGACCTAGGCCTGACAGCAGAGTTGATACACGGCCACAGGGAACAAACAAGATGCACCAGCAGGTGACCTAGGCCTGACAGCAGAGTTGATACAGGGCCGCAGGGAACAAACAAGATGCTCCAGCAGGTGACCTAGGCCTGACAGCAGAGTTGATATAGGGCCGCAGGGAACAAACAAGATGCACCAGCAGGTGACCTAGGCCTGACAGCAGAGTTGATACAGGGCCACTACCCCTGCTCACACCTGGGGTCTCATGCAGTGTCCCCTACCGCTCCTGGAACCAAGGAAGCCAGTCTACAGCAGAGGAGGCACATTAGCCCACAACAGCCAGACCCAGCTCCTATCACATTCCCACCACCAGAAGCTACAGGGCAGGACAGGGTAAGTTTCTGGTTCATAAACAGACAACTGAGGCAGCTCTCAGATGACTCTCTAGGGGATGGGTCACTCGTTACGGGGTCAGAAGCCAGGACAGTGGACAAGTCTGGTTCTCAGTTGATTCACACATTATATTTGGCTCTTGCTGCTCCACAAATGTGGAAGCTCCTTTTGCACCCAGAGACAGAAACCAAATGGCCTAAAGAGACAACGAGATTTACTTTCTTCTGTAGAAAAAAATCTGTCAACTCCTATCTTAATCAATAACCATTATAGGCTGCCACTGTCCCAATTCCTAGACAATATGCGTGTGGGACCAAAGGGTAGAAGTGGGGGTGCCCAGCCTCACCCTCGAGCCCTGTGTCATGCTCTGGGAAACCCTGTTCCCGTCCCTCCTACGTTAGGTCCTGGGGGCCAGGTCGGGGGGTTTTTCTGGGTGAGTTATCAGACAAAGGGATAAGATGCCAGTTGATAGAGGCCATGTTTAGATTCTCTTCAAGAGATAGGAAGCTGTTGGAGGCCCTGGGCTTCTTGGGACCATGGAAAAATAGGTAATAAATGGTCTTGTAACCAAAAGGGCTCTCGGGGGCCTTAGTGGAAAGACCTGCCACCCATGGTCTCTGCCTGCCTCTTGTCTGTAGAAAAGTTTTAGTCAGCCAGGCCTCCTGTGAGTCTCAAAACAGTGGTTTAAGAGTTAAGGATTAGAACATGTGAAGATGGAGAAAGGAATACTCCTTAGGCTGGGAAACTGGTAACAATTTTAGACTGTGACCAGCCACATAGCAGTGTCATGAAATTACCAGTTCCCTGAAAGATAACAAAGATCTGACACAAGTCTCACGTTGTTTCTACAGGAAGCAGACCCCCAGCACATAAAAACTGCTGATGGCCGGCACACAGACCCCCAGACTGGCTGAAACCATAAGCCTGGTGATGCTCAGACGTCCGCCTTGTGCCAACAACCTGACTGCACAGGACGCTGATGCGCCCACAGCAGCCCCTCCGCCCCCTTTTCCAACCGGGAAGCTTGGAGACGTCTGAGTACATTAGATCACTATTTTCCCAGGGCTCCTGAACAAACTGACTTTTCCTTTTCCACACTTGTTAACTTCACCAGTATTAGGACCTGAGTCATAAACAGCTTCAATTAGCAACAGCGTGAAATGTCTGGGAGGAGCTTTGACTCCAGGGAGGTGCTGATCAGTGGCTAGGCATTGAGCGCCTTCCTGGGGATGCATATGGAATTTTTTTTTTTTTAATAAATTGAATCCTTTAATTTTTTCAAGTGTTTTAAAAAATCTATTTTATACTTACGCCAGCCTGAAGATAAGCACAAAACCTGTTCCTTTTCTTTTTTTTTTTTTACGCAACACAACTTGGGCACCCATTCTGTGCATAGCACTGTTCCAGGTGCAGTAAAAGGGATTCTTAACCTTAAAACAGGATTGCACCTTCTGGAACTGTGTTATCTCCTTTTCCAGAAAGTAAAAATAAATAAAATCACTACTGTTTACTATTGACCTGCCCCAAGCCCACTTCTGGCTCTCAGAAATGCTAGGATCTACCAAATTTAAGATGCTTCAGTGAATTCCGCTCCTACTTACCCCAAAGAAGAAGGCAGAACTCCTCTTTATTAAAAAGAAAATTTTCCATGAGAGAGTAGTTTCTGTTTCTATTGTATTTTTTATTAGTATATTGTATTTTTCTCTTTTTTTTCTTCTAGCTTTTAAGTTTTTTTCCTTGAACACTGCTTTTTCTTGTACAAGGCAACAGCATTTTTTCATTTTTCTTTTCCTAAGACAAAGTATTTCATCTTATAGACAAATAATTCCCAAGACTAGTGATAAATATTTTTAAAAAAAAGAAAGAAAAGAGAGAAACTTAAGGGTTTCCCTGGTGGCTCAGCAGGTAATGACTCCACCTGCAATGCAGGAGACCCCAGTTCAACCCCTGGGTCAGAAAGATCCCCTGGAGAAGGGAGAGGCTACCCACTCCAGTATTCTTGAGCTTCCCTGGTACCTTAGATGGTAAAGAATCCACCTGCAATGTGGGAGACCTGGGTTCGATCCCTGGGTTGGGAAGATCCCCTGCAGAAGCGAAAGGCTACCCACTCCAGTATTCAACCCTGGAGAACTCCATGGACTGCATAGTCCATGGGGTCGCAAAGAGTTGGACAGGACTGAGCAAGTAAGCAGGGCACATTCAAGGGTGAATCAACTATATTACTTTGAGGAAGTAAAAACTAAAAAACACGTGGCACTAAGCTAGTCCAAGTATTTGTGTTGAAACAATTTTAAAAACTATTTATTTTATAACATTGTTTAAAAATTTCTTGGTCAAAAAATGTATACCAACATTTTCAGTTCAACCTAATGAAAGTGATATCTAGAAAATATTCCACATCACTAAATCTGTCTCAGAAAGTTTAGATGCTATGGCATTCCTAAGGCACAGCGTTCTGGAAGACAATGTGCTTCTGTGGTGCTGGGTGATGTATGTGGCTGCCTGGCTCCAAGTGGGCCTCAGCGGGCACCTTCTTCCTGACGCTGGGGGACTGGGAGGGGAAAATCAGACACCGGCCCCCAGGGCTGCATGGGCCTCTGTGAGGCCCCGGGCCAGCTGCTGGAGGTGGGCTTCTCCTCGGAATCTAAGGCCCAGCACAAGCCATCACAGCAAATGTTCATCAGGACACTGATAGGCTGGGGTATTTGATAACCTTCTTTCATACCTCTAAAGAGTCCACATCCGTGTAAGGTGTTTGGCCCAGAGCCATGAGCTCCTACAGTATCACTCTGAAGGCCCACACATTACTAGCACTGGAGAACTAAAAAAATTATTTTTTTAATATCTTTTTGGGGGGGATGTATTGGGTCTTAGTTGTGGCACTTGGGATCTTTTTGCAGTGTGAAGACTCTCAGTTGCAACATGCTGACTTCTTAGTTGTAGCATGTGGGATCCAGTTCCCTGACCAAGGATAGAACAGGGCCCCATCATTGGGAGTGGGGAGTCTTAGTGACTGGATCACCAGGGAAGTCTGGAGAACTCATTCTTAACCAGACTTTCATGAGCCATCCATCGATCCCACGCTTCCATTGTCCCCTGACAGTGAGAGTCCACGGGGAACAAGACTCTGGAGAGGGCCTATCTGCACTCTTAACTTGGGGTTGTCATCAGTGGCAGAGCTCCGAGCAGCCAGGTCTTTGTGGAGGACTTCTCTTCTGACCAGGTAACTCATTCCACGGGCGATCTGACTGTGTGGACCAGGGCCTGTTGAGAAATTGCCTGCAGATTATTGGCCTCTACTAACTGGTGCTGCAGACCCCCTGGTGGCTCAGACAGTAAAGAATCTGCCTGCTATGCAGGAGACCGAGTTTGTTCCCTGGGTCGGAAAGATCCCTGGAGAAGGGAATGGCCACCCACTCCAGTATTCTTGCCTGGAGAATTCCTCAGTCAGAAGAGCTTGGCGGGCTACAGCCCATGGGGTGGCAAGAGTCGGACATGCCTGACTGACTAACACACACGCAGACACACAATTTGCAATGCTGTGAAAACTATTTACGATTCTCCCAATTCCTGTAAGGCAATATCACAAGGGGCTTTCTCTCTCTTCTGTACCCACATGGGAAATAGGAGGAAGATTTCTGTGATGAAGATCTCATAGCTTACAACATTCAGTGAGTATCACTGTCACCTGGATTTCAGAAGCTTAATCTCTGTTTTTACAAATGATTGCTGTTCTTTATTTGGATCTTTTTCATCTACATAAATCCCAGGGAAAATATGCCCAAAACTACCTTCTTGGAGTACATCCTCTCCATGGATAGTGTTATCCTCTCCTTGGATATTTCAATATCCTTCACCTAAGCTATGGCCTCCAAAACAGTGGCACTTCTCAAGACACTCCTCCACCCACCTACAAGGTAGGATAACGGGTGGAAGTACCACTGTTGGCCTCTCAGATCCTGAGTCATCTGGGAGGTGGCTGAGACAACCCTTGGGAATGTGCACTGATGCTGTCTTCCAGTTCAATTCTTGTCACACTATGAAGGTGCAAAACAGGTAATATTATCACTAAAGAAATATAACTGCACGGCAAACCCCTGGGCTGATATAAAACACGCGGGTAGAAGTAGCTGAGCTGCATGGACAGGATCACAGATAGTTCCGCTAGTGGCTTGTCCAAGACTGAAGTTTTTACTTCAAGATTTTGGTAGCACATTTTCCTTCCTTTCAAATTTTTGAAGAAGGGAAGTTTTTGAAGAATTTACTGTCAAGTTGAGCTGCATTTAGTATCATAACCTCATCATCTACTTTGCAGAAAAGGAAAGCTAGAGCCGATATAGTGCGTGGAAACCACTCCCCCCCCCACCCCGTGCCCCTTATACCCCCACCCCCATCAAGCAGAAATGCTGACCTGGGGCAGGTCCACGAATTTTCTACTTGGAAACCTGATTATGTTCGACTTGGACTCTGCAGCGCAAGTGAAAGGCAGGACAGCTGTTTCGCTGGGTACTAACAGGTTAAAGGATAGACGTAGTGCCCAACAAGGTCACTTCTCTAATAAAAAAAAGGTTCTGCATCTAGACCAATGAGCCACCGCACCTGTTCCCCTGCTCAGGAAGTGGCTCGCACCAGCGCCCGGGATCTGGGTGAAGCCGCGCAGCGGAGTCCCGGGGCCGGGGGTGGAGCCAGCAGCAGCCACTCAAACAACAGCAACTCCAGCAAGTTTCAGCCGCGAGCGGGCTGCCTACGCCTCCTGGACAATGCGAACTTACGGGTCCGCTCTGCGTTTATAACTCACGGCCTGGAAAGAGCGCTGGTCCTTCAAGGGCCGGGAGATGTAGGGACCAGAAGGGTCTCTGTTGCACAGGTTGGGGCGGGAGGGTGTGTTTTTCGGGGCGGGTCTGGGTCTCTTCTCTGCAGAATTGCCGACTGGTCCCAAACCGCCCGGCTCCGGGGCTTCCACTTCCCAGGGGCGGTCTGAATCCTTGGGGGGGTTTCAACCCTACTTCCTGCCGCGTCCCGGCCCCCTCTTCTCCCATCGTCACCTCCCAAATTCCCGGCATTACTACTTCACCCAAGTCACCCCTGTTCTGACACGGGGAGCCGGCAAGAAGCCGGGAGGAGCCTCCGAGGACCAAACAGGCCCAGGGAAGGGAAAGAGGTGGGGGCGGCGGTGCCACCCTGCAGGAAGTTTCGCGAACCCCCGCGGACACCACCCCCATTCCCTTTCCGGGTTCTAACCCATCCAACATCCTCGCGTTCCCCCGCAGGTTCATCCCCGAACTCACCGCTGGACGTCCCGCTCAACAAGACAATCAGAAGCAAAACGAGGAAGCCAAGACTGATCTTGGAGACACCCATCTCTCCCTTTGCCACCTGGATCCCAATTTTGCAGGAGTGCGAGGCTGCCAAGTCAGAACCGGCGATCCTCTGCCGCTGGCCGGCAGCTGCGGTCTGGACCTCCGCTCCTGCGCGGAGTGCCTGGCCCGCCCCTCCGCGACAGGCCCCGCCCCAGGTTTCTCAAGTAACCACTAGGAGCCCCGCGCCGGGATCTGGGCGGGGCTCTCTTGCCAGCTGGCCCGCTCACTCGCCCGGCTTCCCTGTGTACTCGCCTGCCCACTTGCTTACGCGGTGCCCGGCTTGCAGTGGTGATAGGAGACCGCGGAGTTTGTTGCCGAAGGTGAAACTCCATTACTTTGTCCACCTGATGCGAAGAACTGACTCACTGGAAAAGACCCTGATGTTGGGAAAGATTGAAGGCGGTAGGGGACGACAGAGAATGAGATGGTTGGAAGGCATCACCGACTCGATGGACATGAGTTTGCGTAAACTCCGGGAGTTGGTGATGGACGTGCAGTCCATAGGGTCGCAGAGTCGGCCACGACTGAGCGACTGAACTGAAGGCTCTTGTTCCTTATCAGTCTTAAATCTTGGTTCCTTATCAGATCGGGGCACCCAAGCCAGTCATCTGAGTTGGGAGGAGACAAGGGACAAAAGAAAATCCCTGTTCCGGCCACTGGGTCGGCTCAGTCAGCGGTCAAACTTGTCCCTAAGTACCTGAATGGTCAGGGCATCAGTTGCAGTGAGGAAATCCCACCAGACTCTCCATCTGTTACAGAAAGGGGGACTCCTTGCAGGGTCTGAGAGTGGGCTTTTGTCTAACCCTGGGAAATGAATTGTTCCTGGAGACACACATGCTGACAAGGAAGAGGCTTTTTGGGGAAGGGGCTACAGGGTGGAGAGCGGCAGGGTCAGGGAACCCAGGAGAACTGCTCTGCCACGTGGCTTGTAGTTTCAGGTTCTTTGGTGATGGTTAGTTTCTGGGTCATCTCTGGCCAATCATTCCAACTCAGGGTCCTTCCTGGTGTCAGAAGTGTGTTCTGGTGAGCTTTATTGATATTTCTGAGAGTTTATTTATATAGTGCTTACTTTTCCTTAACCCAATTAAATCCAGCTCAGTTACAAATTCATTTCCATGTAAAGACAGAACCAGAGATCTCCTTGTTTTTACTGCTTCCGTTTTTAAAATGCTATTTTTTTTTCCCCTCACTCTGGGGGACCACAGATGGACCAGATAGTTCCTGAGAACCTGGGCAAAAGACTTACATTTTTGGAGGGGAGAAATGCAAGCTCCCTTTTTTATTTGTTTTGTTTTTAAAGTCTTCCAACATGAGTGTTAACAGTGACTGCAGCCATGATATTAAAAGATGCTTCCTCCTTAGAAGAAAAGCTATGACAAACCTAGACAGCATATTAAAAAGCAGAGACATCACTTTCCCAACAAAGGTCCCTATAGTCAAAGCTATGGTTTTTTCAGTAGTCATGTATGGATGAGAGAGTTGGACCATAAAGAAGGCTGAGCACTGAAGATTTTATGCTTTTGAGCTGTGGTGTCAGAGAAGACTCTTGAGAGTCCCTTGAACCGCAAGGAAATCAAACCGGTCAGTCCTAAACGAAATCAGTCCTGACTATTCATTGAAATCACTGATGCTGAAGTGGAAGCTCCAATATTTTGGCCACCTGATGTGAAGGGCTGACTCATTGGAAAAGACCTGGAAAAGATGCTGGGAAAGATTGAAGGCAGCAGGAGGAGTGGATGACAGGGGATGAGATGGTTGGATGGCATCACTGACTCAATGGACATGAGTGTGAGCAAGCTCCAGGAGATGGTGAAGGACAAGGAAGCCTGGTTTGCTGCAGTCCATGGGGTCACAAAGAGTCAGACATGACTGAGTGACTGAACAACATGTAATCCATGCCTATAATTGTAGCAGAGATTTGCAGGGGCCATTGGACAGACAAAAGTTCATAAAACAAAGATGCTTTTAATTCACTGACCAAGACAACCTACCAGTGACAGAAGATTAACAAACAGGAAACAAAGAAAGGGTCTTACCCGGAAGTGGCCTCTGGGGCACGTTGTCCAGCCCGGCCCAACTCCTCTCAACTGGCCCTTCTGCAAGGGGGCCAGTGGGAACCTCAAGCCTGAGGTGGGAACACAGAACAAACAAGTGGTGGTGAATCAGGTGACCCAGCAGGGAGTCTCCTGGATGTAAAAGGACAGGAGTGAAGGTTTGGGGACAAAGGGAGCAAAGGGAGGAGGGATAGAAAAGACTGAAAAACGGAAAGGGAGCCATTGCCTTTTCAACCCCTGCCCCCTGCGGGTGTCTATTTATTCAGGCACCAACCTGCAGGCTTCCAGAGAGGGCCAGTGAGGGAGGGAGCACCCTGTCCACTGCCCACTGGGGTGATCAAGCCCAGAAACCAGCCCCTTGTACATCGGCTGTGGGACTGCAGCCCAGAGGTGGGGTGCATATACACGGAAACCAGAATATAGAAATCTGGCACTTCACTGAGTTCCCAACGGGACTTCTCTTGGCGCAGGAAAATAGAAATGAGAATATTGGCATGACCAGACTTGCGGCCACTGCCTAATAAGAGGTTTGAACCTCTATCATTCTCACAAACCTCCTGTGAGGCAGAACCTGCTGGACCAAGCCCTGCAGGGTATGAGGTGGGTTTCTCCCACCAGCTTGTCACCCATCAAAGTGAGCCATTGACAGCCAGAGGGAGCTTTGTCTCCTAAGTTGACAAGAGTGATGCTGTCCTTGCTGAGGTCCACTCTTTCAGAAGGATAGGACAGAGAGAGAAGAAGTAGAGACAGAATAGAGGAGGGAAAGGGACAAAGGTTGAGGGGGAGCGTGATGCCTGAATGAGGGCCCCAAGGCCCCCAGGGACCAGGAAGGCAGAGCAACCAAACCTGGTGACTCTGAGCTGAGGTTCAGGTGGCCACTTGTCACCACAGAGGAGTTACATCCAGAGGTCACAAAGATGCCCAGATGCTCTGGCAGAAAGGGGACAGTAGCCCTTCATGGTTGCCACAGAGTATGTTAGCAACCAGGCTTCTTGGCCTCCTGAATCAATCAGTTCATTCAGTTCAGTTCAGTTGCTCAATCGTGTTCTACTCTTTGTGACTCCATGGACTACGGCATGCCAGGCCTCCCTGTCCATCACCAGCTCCCAGTGTTTACTCAAACTCATGCCCGTTGAGTCAGTGATGCTGCAGGGGCAGGGGCTCTGGGTTCAGCAGACTTGGGTATGGCTGGGTGCTGCAGACTTGGGTATGGCATAAGTCCTCTTGGCAGAGGTCGCCATTAACCCCATCAAAGAGCTGGACTGGGGAAATAGACTCTTGGAGAGCACAAACAGAATCTTAATCAATAGAAGTGTATAAGAGACCAGATGAGAAATTCAGGCGAGGCTTCACTGGGACACGTGCTGCAGTGTGAGGGAGCAAACACAAGCAACAGGTTTCCTTGCTTATTCTCTTGGGGGGTAGCGTGGTGGGGGGAGGCAAGCTGTTCCCTTATATGGGGTGAGGGTAGGGGCAGGTCAAGGGTTAGGACCTGAGGGATGGCTTAGGTGGTCTGCCCACCGTCGTGGCTGTGCACTGTGCAGGGATCATACCCCGTACCCTGCTTTTCCAGTTGGGTTTTTTATCTTTTCATTTTTCATCTTTTCATTTTCATCTTTTCATTTATAATCAACCCCAACTTGGCATGCATGCAGTTATTTTCAGTCCCTTATAATTTCTTTGTATTTTGTTTCTGGAGGAGATCATTGTCCAGGTGCAAGCACTAGAGCAAACGTCCACAGATCCCAGGTTTCAAGTCCCAGCAGATCTCACTTGAGCTGTTGGACATGTTTCTCATCCATGCTTTCCTCTAAGGCTCCGTAGACTCCTTCAGGCTTTCCCATGGAGCCTGGTGGCCTGCACACCTTCCTGCCCTTTCATACCATGTCTGCTCTGGCAGATTCACTTCTCTGAGCCTTTGATCCCCTCCTCTACCACCTGCCTCAGAAGTTCTGGAATTTCTCTTTGATGCCATGTGGGCCAGGCCTTTCTCCAGGATTCCAAGACCCATCCTAGTGGGAGATCAGCAACATCTCCCTGGCCTTGCTAGGTCCTGTGACCCCTAATTGTGAACTCTCCCTTCTCCAGCTTTGGGTTCTGTGCTCATCCTCCCCACTGTGACCGCCCTTCCTCAGGAGCAGCCCCTAACGGCTCCCCATCTCTCCTCAGGACACTCGGAGACATTCTCACAGTCCTCTGTGTTTAGGCCTCTCCTTCTGAGCTGGCCTGGCCCATCTCTGGAAAAAATTGTGTCGGTTCATGCTAGGTGTGGAGCTTTTGAACAGAGTGGAGATAGGCATATCCATGGCCGTGTGGTTTTTTTGTCTGATCAAGGCTTCCTCCTCTTCCTCAGCCAGTAACTGGGGTGTGTTTGAGGTTGGGGGGCAGGCGGGGCATCCTGCTCTGTCAGCCCGGCCCTGCAGCCTTCCTCTGCTCTCACAGACCTGGGGAGGAGGCCTACAGGTCTTCTTCTCCCAACCTCATCCTCACTGTGTTTTGCCTTCACACATGCTCACTCTCTTTCCTATAATTTCACCATCTATCCTCAGCCCAGACCTGGACATCCATGGTGTGAGGTTCAAGGCCAGGTGGACGGAGAGGTTTTTCTCTCCTATGATTGTGGTCTTGCTAACATCACATTCATGCATCCCCTGGAAGAATTCTGGAGCTGAGGTCCCTATCACTTTTTGAAAATTAGAGGGGAGCCTGGTTGATATATCCCCTAAAAATATGTTGGAGATGATCGTTCTGAACAGGACTAACACCAACAATGACAACCAAAAGGGACGGTAATGAAAGGCTGTCTTGAATCCTGATGTCTAGTTTTATCTTGTGTTCTTCCTCATTTTCATCCAATGCAAACCCAAGACCTGAACTCTTCAATTTGTATGATTTCATGCAGTTGGGGAGTTTCCCTTTAGTCATCATTTATTTTTTACTGAGATAA